GACGACGACGACGACGACGACGACGACGACGACGACGACGACGACGACGACGACGAACGACGAGACGACGACGACGACGACGACGACGACGACGACGACGACGACGACGACGACGACGACGACGACGACGACGACGACGACGACGACGACGACGACGACGACGACGACGACGACGACGACGACGACGACCGAGTCAACGACGGACGATGATGACGACGACGTCCCTCCTCCTCCCGCTGCTCTCCCCGGTTTCTTGGACCCCCACCCTCCCCCCGCTTGAGCTCGACCCCGCACTCCGTCCCCGCTCGAGCTTCCTCCTTAGACCCCCCCCCGCTTGAGCTCGACCCCCCCCCTCGTCCTCGCTCGAGCTCCCCCCCCGCCCCTCGATTCTTGGATCCCCCTCCCCCCGCTGCCCCCTCCTCCGCTTGAGCTCGACCCTCCCCCCGTTCGACCCCACCCCGCGTCCTCGCTCGAGCCCCCCCCCCCTCTCGATTCTTGGCCCCCCCCGCGCTGACCCCCCCCCCCCCCGCTTGAGCTCGACCCCCCCCCCCTCCGTCCCCGCTCGAGCTTTCTCCTTGGACCCCCCCCCCCCTCGATTCTTGGACCCCCCTCCCCCGCGCTGACCCCCCCTCTCCCGCTTGAGCTCGACTCCCCCTTCGTTCGTTCGACCCCCCTCCCCGTCCTCGCTCGAGCCCCCCCCCCCCTCTCGATTCTTGGGCCCCCCCCCGCGCTGACCCCCCCCTCCCCGCTTGAGCTCGACCACCCCCCTCCGTCCCCGCTCCAGCTTTCTCTTGGACCCCCCCCCTCGATTCTTGACCCCCCCCTCCGCGCTGACCCCCCCCCCCCCCCGCTTGAGCTCGACCCCCCCCCCGTCCCCGCTCGAGCTTCTTCCTTGGACCCCTTCCCCCCCGCTTGAGCTCGACCCCCCCCCGTCCTCGCTCGAGCTCCCCCCCCCCCCCTCGATTCTTGGACCCCCCCCCCCGCGCTGACACCCCCCCGCTTGAGTTCGACCCTCCCCTGAGTTCGACCCTCCCCCTCCGTCCTCGCTCGAGCTCCCCCCCCCCTCGATTCTTGGACCCCCCCCCCTGCGCGCGCCCCGGTTTTTTTTTTTTGGACCCCCTCCGCTTGAGCTCGACCCCTCCTCCGTCCCCGCTCGAGCTTCCTCCTTGGACCCCCCCCCGCTTGAGCTCGACCCCCCCCCTCCGTCCTCGCTCGAGCTCCCCCCCCCCCTCGATTCTGGGACCCCCCCCCTCCCCGCGCTGGAGCGTTCACTGAATTACGTGGATAATTCGCCAGCCCCCCCCCCCTGAGCGAAGCTTGAGCGAGCTCAAGCCCACGCTCTCAGAAACTCACACGCCGGATCGGCGGATTAATGCAGCACAGAAATACCCCCCTAATCCGTATGCCGTATGTGTTACGAGTGCGTTTCTATGAAAGCGACCCGGGAGTTTCTGTCGGTTTTCACGCGGGTTTATGTTTGAGCGTTTGATGCATCCGCAACCGTTTTGGCTCTAGCGCCCTGAGGTGAACAAATCATCATAGATGTAGGGCCTGCGGGGCCCAGTTCGACCATGCAACGCTAGCGCGATTCCGCGGATGGTAGCGGAGCGTGGCCTAGGACGGATCGCCCTCCTTGGTCTGGTGATCCTCGGTCAGGCTGCCGCGGCGGGCGCCGCAACCTGCGGTTCAGGCTGGACGCGGCGAAGCAGCGGCTGGCCGTGGGTGAGCAGCGCGCATGACAGCGCGGCCTGGGCGGTGCAGCAGCAACAGCAGAATCAAGAAGTCTCGGCGGAGGCCAGATGGTGGGCACTAGGCTGCTGCGCTCGGAGTGGAAGTTCGATTTCGAGGCCCACGTGTTCGCGGTCCACCCCCGGCTGGGGGATCTGCTCAATCAGGCATCGAGGACGGTCGACGTACTGGCGACGCAGAGTGAACTCGACGCCACGCTGAACACTCAGCTGTGCTACGTGCTGGTCTCGGTGAGTTCAGATGGGTCCAAGGTCGAGGTCAGAAAGGCTCCGCGAGGCGACGGGCTCTCGGCATGGTGGCACCTGCCCACGGAGTTCGCGCCGAAGGAGGCGAGCCGCTTCGCGGCGATGCTGGGCCGCATCGTTCGGTATGAGTTCGCCGATCCTGTGAAGACGAGCATGGCGGAGTTCGAGCAGTTGGTGCGGGAGTATACCGACCAGAGCGGCGACGTGATTTCAGACAACATGAAGCGCGGGGTGATCATGTCAGGCATCAAGAACCCGAAGCTGGCAGACCGCCTCAGCTTGAACGCGTCGCGCCTGGGGGCGTACGAGGAGCTGGGGCAGGGGCTGAAGACGATCTGCACAGCGCAGCGACGATGGACAGCGACAGAGTCAGGTGGCGACGCAATGGTTCCCATGCAGGTCGACGCGATCGGCAAGGGCAAAGGGGGCGATGAGGGCAAAGGCAAGGGCAAGGACAGCAACGGCAAGTCCAGGGGCGACTCCATGGGCAAGAAGGGCGACGCGAAGTGCATGGGCCGAGAGACCCGCAACTGCCACTACTGTGGGAAAAGCAGGCCATCTCGCGGCGCACTGCCGCGAGAAGAAGGCCGACGAGAAGAAGGTCGGGGAGGCTGCCGCGCTGACGGAGGGCCCCGCAGGACAGTCTTCGACGGAGGCTACGGCTTCAGCGCTGCAGGGCAATGGCGCTGGCTCGCAGGCCAGTGTGGCCCCCGCCGTGGCCGTCTCGCACGCGGCGGCGGCGCTGGCGCAAATGCAGCTGCAGCAGCAGCGGGACTTCGCTTCTACGAGCTCAACCGTCCACGTTGTGACCGTCAATGTGGCCGACCGTACTGACGTCCCAGCGCCCGAGGAGTGCTGCTGGCAGGTCGGCGTGCTCTACGACAGGGCGCAGTGCGACGCGCTACCAGTGGCGGTCGGCGACGCGGTGGAGTTCGACTGGGTGCTCTTCGACACGGGCTCAGGGCTCGCCACCTGCCCCCAGGAGCTCGCGGACGCGACCGAGATGCTGCCGCCCAAAATATGTGATTCGGCGACGGGCGACGTGGTCAAGTCCATGGGCGTGAGGATCGTCGCGGCCGAGAGCGACGGGGCACCTCTGCAGATCGAGTTCCAGGAGACGAACGTGAAGCGCGCCATCGTGAGCGCGGACGCCTTACCGAGGGCGGCCACATTCCGATCCGCGGCAAGTGCCCCATAAATCCTGCTGACGGACGGCCGCGTGATCACGCTGTGCAGGAGCGGGAAGATGTTCTGGCTCAGAACTAGGAGGCCTACCAAGAACGTCACCGAGCCCATCCTCGTCAACCCAATTCGGCCGAACACTGAGGCACGAGCCGTAACTCGCGAGGCACCTGCCGACGAGGAAAATGCATGACCTGGAGCAGAACCACACCGCCAGAACCGATGCCACTTCCGCCGGCGCCACCTGCTGCCGGGGGCGCCCATGATCAACCTGACCACGGCGGAGATCAGCGTGAAGGAGTGCGACGGCAACGCGAGGACGGAACGCTACTGCGAGTCTCTGGAGAGGCAGCAGCGGCCAGGGCGAGAGGGGTCCCAGTGATGCCAGATCGAGCAGTCCGAGGTCAGCATCGGCTCACGCCCTTGCCCTTCATGGTGCCTCATCTGCATCGTGGGCCGCGGCTGACCCCGGCCGCCTGATCCCGCTTGTCTGCGTCGACTACCTGTTCCTGGGGGGCGTCGAGGGCGACCCGCTCGAAGTGCAGAACATCCTGGGGTACCAATCGGGAGCGATCGAGAGCGCGCGGATGACGAGGAAGGGGCCTGGAGTACGCCGTGGCAGTGACGACAGCGGCGATGCGCATCTGGGGCCTCGACCGTGTTCTTCTCGGTGCCGATGGCGAGCCCGCCGTCCAGGCGCTAGTCCGAGACGTGCAGCTGGCTCGAGACGAGGAGACCGTTCCCCACAGTGGGCCCAGGCGGGGCCCCAGGAGCAGGGGGGCGATCGAGAACGCCAACAAGATGGTCGAGGGCATGTTCCGCACTTTGAGGGTATCGATCGAGTCTCGGTGCAGCATCAAACTTATCGACGCTCGGGCTGGATCCTGTCGCGGTACCCAGTCAAGGAAGATGGCCTCGCCCCGTGCCAGCACTTGCAAGGTCGCGCTTGCGGAGGAGCTGTCTGCGATTTCGGCGAGACGGTGATGTACAAGATTTAGAATATATCCCACCACAAGGCCGAGATCCGCTGGGGCAAGGCCATCTGGGTCGGGAATGGACAACCGCACGGACGAGCGCCTCTTGGCGACCGCTGCTGGCAGGGAGACGGCGAGGATCATCGACAGACGCGTGGTGGAGGAGCATTGCGTCGCTCCTCCACGCGTCTGTTCAACGGTCCAAGAGCCTGTTCAACAAGGTCGAGAGCACGCCATGGGGCGCTCGCGCGGGGCCAGAGGCAGCGCCGCCCCCACTGCGCCGTCGCTACATCACGAAAGCAATCACTGATCGAGTGTGACCTACATCTGGCTGCGACGGCTTCCGCGGACTCTGCCACCCAGGCGCCGAAGCCTGCCTGGAGCGCATCGAGGGCTTGATGAAGGCCGAGGAGGAGAAGGAGAAACGAGTGGCAGCAGTTCGAGCAGCCGCATCCGCAGCTGCTGCCGCGCCCCCAGGGGGAGAGCAACATGCCCAAGCAGGGCCTGACACCACGCAACCTGAACCGATACCACCTCCAGCCGTAGCACCGGGCCCGCAGCCCGCTACAGGGGCCGACCAAGGAGGACGACCCCGCAGACGGCGGCTGGAGGCGGACGCACCTTCGGACCCCGCGCAGGAGGGCGCCGTGGAGCTGCCGCAGCAGGACGGCATGGAGCTCGTCATGATCGAGATGGATTGCAACCACGCCCTGACGGAGGCGAAGCGAAGCAGAAGGTTATCGCAGGTCTGTTCGTGAACATGGCGACTGCAGTTCTCGCGCTGACATGCGGCGCCATTCCCCGCGACAGCGTGACGGACATCGACAAGCGAGGCCTCTGCGACCGCGAGGCGCGTTACCAGAGTGTCTTCGGGGCGAGATCAGGGGAGAGGCTGGATCACACCTTGGCGAAGCGATGCAGGGGGGAGGAGCGCAGGCAGTTGGAGGGGTTCCAGGTCTTCGATAGAGTGCCCAAGAATTCGGCAAAGGGCAAACGCGCCCGTGGGAAGTGGGTCGACGACGAGCGCTGCGACGAGGACGTCACGGAGTCGGTCAGATCGCGCTCCGTGGCCATGCATTTCGCCTGGGACGTGCGCGACGACACCTTCGCAGGCACTCCATCACTAGCAGCATTCAGGCTGGTGGTCTCCTCCGCCTCAAGCCTCTACTCCACGGGGGTCGGCTACGACGGCATGATTGCGCTCTACGACGTGTCGGTCGCCTTCTTTCGCGCGTACATTGACAAGGACGTCCACGTGGTCCCACTTCGGAGAGGAACCATAAGGCATTGTGTGCCAGCTGAAGCGCGCGCTCTGCGGCGCGAGACTCGCGTCGTTCCTGTTCCAGAACTTAATCATGGAGGTCATGGAGAAGGGCGGATTCACGCGCACCAAGGTGACGGCGCAGGTCTATTACTACCAGGAGAGGCTGCTGATGGTCATCGTCCATGGGGATGACTTCCTGGCTGGGGGAAAGACGGAATCTCTGGACTGGCTCGACGAGTGGGTGAAGGGCGCTTCAAGGTCAAGGTGATGCTGAGGGTAGGCAGCCCCCGGCAAGGAGGAGTCGAGTCAGGGAGCTTCCTCGAGCGAACGGTAACGTGGTGCTCTGAGGGGTTCGGCATCCAGCGCGACCGCAAGCGCGTGGACATTCTGGGCAGCACCACGCTGAACAGGAATATTGGTGAGAGCAGCATGACGAAGCGGGCAATCACCCCCCCCCATCCAGGACCATTGGGACGGACTGCTCGGCGCGGAGCACGCGACTGCCTACCGCAGCATGGCGCCCACTGCCTTGTGCGTGGCTCACGACCGATTCGACATCCAGCTGGCCGTGGGATACCTCATGAGGGGCATGGTCGCGCCCACCTGGCACCGCGGACTACTACTACAGCGACTGGCGAGCTACCTGGAGCAGCACCTGCAGTTCGAGCTCTTCTTCGAGTTCCGGAGGATGCCCGAGGTGATCGTGGCGGAAGTCGACAGCGACTGGGCGTCCGAGCCTGGTCGGAGGTCCGTGGGCGGAGGACTCCTGTTCAGACGGCTGGAGCGGCCAAAAGGGCAATCGCGCGCCGAGCAGCGCGGAGGCGGAGTTCACAGGGATCGTGAACGGCTCGGCGAGGGGCGTCTGGTTGAGGGGCGTGATGCTGAAGATGGGGCTCGAGATGACCCTGCAGGTGAACGCGGACAGCTCGGGGGCCAAGGGCATCGCATCGCGCTTGGGAGGCGGAAAGGGACGCCACCTTGAGACGAAGCGCTTCTGGGTGCAGGAGAGGGTCAGGGACAAGACGATCTCGATGGCGAAGATCCACGCGGACACGAACAGGGCCGACATGAAGACCGAGTCGCTCGAGGGCCCGAGATTCCTGAAGCTGCTGGCGATGCTTCCACTTCGGACGCCGTCCTCAGGGCGCGCGCAGGTGTTCGGAGCGATGTTGGCGGCAACAATACTTGGCCGAGTTCAGGGAACAGAGATGGTCCCAGCGAGTCAGGCGGTGATGGTGTTGAGCAGCCCGTCCGCGAAGGACCAGGTCTGGACGACGGACGGTGATGTTCGAATTGACGCTGGCGATCGCGTTCCTGTCCGCGTGGATTGGCCACCGTGTGTACAAGGCGCCGATGCGGCTCCTGATGTGTCTCTGGGAGCTGGTGGGAGATGGCGGCGACCAGATCGTTCAGGTGGAGGCCCCACCGGGAGACGAGCATCTGGCGATCGTGGAGAGCGGCGTCAGCAGGCACACGCATACGACGCCGATCATGCACTGCTGGACGTGGGGTGCGGCGGAGCTGCGCGATGAGTGCCTGCGCTTGGGCATCTACCGAGGACAGCTCACGGCGCAGATGATCAAGGGTCTGCTGAACTGAGCAGGCCGCAGGTGGACCTTGCTTGTGGTGCAGCAGCTCCGTTCTGGATACGCTCGACGCGCCGTGCTGGAGCGCGCGTCGCCTGTTTGAGAAGGACCCTCCTCGCCAGGTGCTCGAGGGCGCGGGGAAATGAAACCCAGCGTTGAGGCGCTGGCCCTCGGAGGATCAACTAGATAGGCCCGCGGGCACAGGTGCCAGATCTTGTTTGTGCTAGAGATTCCCAGGACGGTTTCTGTTCAGTGATGTGAGCCCCAGGCTTGGCCCAGCGCCCAAGGAGGAGTGCAACACAGAAACACTCCCCCCTTAATCCGTATGCCGTATGTGTTACGAGTACGTTTATAGGACAGCGACTCGGGAGTTTCCATAGGGTTTCACGCGAGTTTCTGTTTGAGCCTTCGATGCATCCGCAACCGTTCTGGCTCTAGCGCCCTGAGGTGCAACTATCATTATACATGTAGGCCCTGCGGGGCCCACCAGTTCGACCATGCAACGCTAGCGCGACTCCGCGGACATGGTACTACTAACACGACGCGTAGTAATACTCATAGGAAGCATATCAAGAGTACGGGCAAAATTCAGAAGAGTAACAATAGTAGTAGCAATAGAACGAATACTACGACTAAACATTTGAACAGTCATACTGATAGAAGGAGGAGGATGAGGATGATGAGGAGGGGGAGGAACAGCTGGAGTTGAAGTTTGAGTTGGAATTGGAGGACAAGGAGGAGGAACATGAGGAAGAGGAGCAATACTAAGATTGTGATGATGCTGATGATGGTGTTGATGATGATGACGCCGCTGGTGTTGATGATGAGGATGTTGATGATGCTTTTGTTGTTGGTGATGATGACAATGCTGGTGGTGATGATGATGCTGACGATGATGATGATGAAGATGACGATGATGATGATGAGGAGGAGGAGAAGGTGGAGCTGGAGTTGGAGTTGGACTTGGTGGAGGAGGAGGGGGCGTCCTGGTGGAGAGCGGTCTCGATGTGCTTCGTGGTTTTTGTTGGTTCTTTTCAAAGGAGAAGCGACTGCGTATGCATAAACTCTCCGAGGTCAGTGCGGCTTTCCTGGGTCGGCGCTGGGCCCCCCTGGCGGCGCCTCCTGTGTCGCTCCTGGCGCGCCCTGCGCGCCGCGGAGGGGGTCCAGTGAGGGCCCAAGAAGTCCGCACGGACCCCCGACAGGTCATGCTCATGCAGTTTTCCTGGTGTTCCAGGCGGCGCTTCTTCCTTCTGGTGCGCATGACGAACCAACAACGCACACCCATACCCATAGGGGGGTCGGAGACGGCTAGGGGTGCGTGTTGTCGGATGGGGGTCCCCGCTCGAACGGGAGCGTTCCCCAGGGTCGACAACCCGCACCCATACCCATAGCCAGTCCTCCTCCCAACGACCCCCCTATGGGTATGTGTGTGTGTGTTGCTCGTTCATCGTGCGCAAGTCGTTTCGCTTTGGCCCGGCGCCAGCTGGACCGTTTCGTGCGTTCGCCAAGTCCGAGACCAAAGCCCGGTGCTCGGCCCGCCCGACGCGCCCAGGGGCCTCTTCCATCGAGGCGGGGTGGCCTTGGTTGGCTTTCACAGGGTGGCGGCGGTCGCTACTCGAAATGTGATGGGCTTGACTGCCCTGCTAATGGCACAGCCAGATGTGCTTCCCTCTGCCTGCTGTTCGCACGACCTCCGGCTGCACTGCCGATGGGGTATTCTTCGCGCCATTGGTTAACGTTGGCGTCATCCGAGGGATCCATTCTGGCAGGCTCCAAAGTAGCCGCGTGCGCTGAAGCTCGCACGGGTTCATAAAGGTGACCTTGCTGTTTCGGGCAAATTTTTCACCATGACAATTAAGGTATCAAGGGCAGGTCACCAAAACCACTGCGTCCTCGCCGCGTCGGTGGGTTCTGAGGCTTCGGAAATCAAGTGCTAGAGATTTTCTCGGACAAGTTTTTCCTGCTCCTGACTGGGAGCATCGCATACATCCTACAGTTTCTCTACACGGACAGTGCGTACCAGCAGGTGGTCACGAATTATGCCTGCTGGACCATAGCCATGTCTAGATGGCAGCGGCAAGGACCGCCAGGATATCTCCACCTTTTGTCTAGCTGGCCCGGTGGCTGTTCTACTGCGGCGTGGCTATCTCCAGGGCCTTCCTGGCGCCGCCAGCCGGGCACGCACACCGCATCTCATGAGCAGCCCTCAGGCCGGCGTCCCGCTGGGATTCCACTTCCCTGCCGGCTGGGGCAGGCTCTTCCGCATCTGTGCGCCCTGCTCTGGGGGTGCGCCAGCCCGCGTGCCTCTCGTGCTTCGGCAGTCTCCGCGCACAGTCGCGCTTCGGCGCCCGTTGGCGTGATCTCTCCGCCGGGCCGAACGCGACATAGACGTCTTGCGAGGCGTGGTCTTCTGCTCATGAGCTCTCTCCTCTTCGATCTTCGTGGCCGTCTGCGTGCGGTCGGCGTCTCACGAGAGAGGTAGGCGATCTCCCAGTTGCTTCACGAGAGAACTTCGGCTACTCGGCGTTCGCCCATGTACGCTCGTACGGCCGTCCAATGCCCTTGCATCCCTATCGTGCGCCCTTCTGATGCGGGTCGACTGCGGAGGTGCCGGAGGAAGAGGAGATGGAGGCCTGTGGAGGAGGCCCCGGATCGCCCATGCGTCGCCAACACCGCGGTGGGCGCGCACCGCGGGGCTTCGCTCTCGGGGGGCCCGTCGCCGATCGATCGGCGAGGCGTCGATTCGTGGCCGACGTCTCCCCCCCGGGCCAGTCTCCCCCCCGGTGGTTGTGGAAGTCGATCAATGGAGAGGAAGCGTGCCGCCAAATAGTTGCCCGATGTCTAAAAGATGTTTCAAACATGTTTATAAACATATGTGCAAAAGCAGGTTTGAACCATTTTTAGACCATGTTTTACACATGTTCAACACATGGTTAACTCAGTGATGGGATTGCCAGAGTGTCCATTGTCATGGCATCCACAGCCCTATGGCTCCTCCACGCAGCCCCTCGCAGCCCCGCCCGGCACGCGCGTTCGCACGGGCCGCCAGAGGCGAGACCTGTACTCGCTGAAGAGCACCATCACGATGATGTGACGGGGGGGTGCGGCGGAGGGGAATGGATCACGAAGGAGCAACATCGCACAGGCACAAATAGCCGTCGGCTCCAAGGAAAATGTGAAAGGGTGTGGGAAGTGGCGGGGAAGACGAACCTCCACGAAAGATGGGACATCTGGGGAATCTTGGGATTTGTGTTAAGTCGGGCCTGTCTCCCTACAGGAGGAATCTTCAAAAATAGTAGAACAATTGTTCTGTCTTATGATGAGTATTATTGGTAGTATTAGTATTATTAGTATTATTGTTATATTGATTTTTTACCATTATTGTATTATTATCATAATTATTATTATCATCATCATCTTTATTATTGTTATTACTATTATTATTATTATTCGTGTCATTATTATTAGTATTACTACTATTATTCTTAGCATCAGCATTAGCATCATTGTTAGCATCATTATCATCATTTTCATCATTATTATTATTATTATTATTATTATTATGATTTTTATTATTATTACTATTATTATTATTATTGGTACTATTATTATTATTATGATTATTATTTTTTATTATCGTCATCATTATTATCTTTTTTTACTAGTATTATAGTATAAGTTTGAATATTTTGGGGGTATTTTTAAAGTAAGCTGTTCGTCCAAAATCCGCCTGTAGGGGAACACGCCCGACCTGAGATTTGTGCCCATTCCTTTGCGTGTCCCCGGGCCCCTCCCGTGGATCACGAGGGGCAGAGGCCCCCGGGTGTAGCAGTAACGGATCTCGTCCTCCTCGCTGCCGCCGATGCAGGCCTGCTGGCGCTGGGCTTCAGTCGGGCACGTCCCTCTACAGGGGAAACATCAAACATTAGCCTGGCGAAGGACCCAACCATATGCAACTGTGAATACCGCAAGTGTGAATATCGTTTTCGGCGGCGCTACCTCTGGGTAGTGGAGACGCATGCGAACACCCCCACTGGGGCCTTCGGTGGAGCTCCCTATGGGGCTACGAAACGCTGCCCTGGGTGGGGGAACCGCATGCAGGCAGCCCCACTGGGGCCTTCGGTGGAGCTCCCTGTGGGGCCACGAAACGCTGCCCTGGGTGGGGGAACCGCATGCGGGCACCCCCACTGGGGCCTACGGTGGAGCTCCCTCTGGGGCTACGAAACGCTGCCCTGGGTGGGGGAACCGCATGAGGGCAGCCCCACTGGGGCCTACGGTGGAGCTCCCTATGGGGCTACGAAACGCTGCCCTGGGTGGGGGAACCGCATGTGGACACCCCCACTGGGGCCTTCGGTGGAGCTCCCTCTGGGGCTACGAAACGCTGCCCTGGGTGGGGGAACCGCATGTGGACACCCCCACTGGGGCCTTCGGTGGAGCTCCCTATGGGGCCACGAAACGCTGCCCTGGGTGGGGGAACCGCATGTGGACACCCCCACTGGGGCCTTCGGTGGAGCTCCCTATGGGGCCACGAAACGCTGCCCTGGGTGGGGGAACCGCATGTGGACACCCCCACTGGGGCCTTCGGTGGAGCTCCCTATGGGGCCACGAAACGCTGCCCTGGGTGGGGGAACCGCATGCGTTCGGTGGAGCTGGGGCTACGAAACGCTGCCCTGGGTGGGGGGGCCTTCGGTGGAGCTCCCTCTGGGGCTACGAAACGCTGCCCTGGGTGGGGGAACCGCATGTGGACACCCCCACTGGGGCCTTCGGTGGAGCTCCCTATGGGGCTACGAAACGCTGCCCTGGGTGGGGGAACCGCATGTGGACACCCCCACTGGGGCCTTCGGTGGAGCTCCCTATGGGGCCACGAAACGCTGCCCTGGGTGGGGGAACCGCATGCGAACACCCCCACTGGGGCCTTCGGTGGAGCTCCCTATGGGGCCACGAAACGCTGCCCTGGGTGGGGGAACCGCATGCGAACACCCCCACTGGGGCCTTCGGT